CACCCCCCCCCCGCCCCCCCGCCCCCCCTGCCCGGCCAGCCCCGGGCTCCCGGGAACGTCAGCACGCCGCCGTCCCCGGACCTGCTCCCCGCCGCCCCATTGGTTGGAAGGAGAAGGCTGGCCCTCCCCATTGGCCCGGCCCTCATATTGAACGGGCCAATGAGGACTGCGGTTTCAGGTCGCCATAGAGACCGATGCTGTTAAGAGCGAGAGGCCTGGAGAAGGTGGGAGCGAGGATGAAGGTGCCTCTGGCCTCCGGCGCGGAAGGGGGTGGGCGGAAGGACCGAGACGTTCCTGAGAGCTGGCTCTGAAACCCCTGCCCGGTTTGACTTTGCTTTCCTGCCGACCCCGACTGTGAATGGAAGGGTTTATCCCTGGTGTCAAAGGCAGGAACAGCCGAGCCCCTAACGTACCCTTGGTGGTGAGAGCCCAGAAGTGGGCGTTTCACTTTACCAGCGTCTAGGGAGCCCCTGAGGCTATGCCCTTTGACCTTTGGTATGTGTGCAGCTTCTGCTTCTTCAGGTGAGTTTGCAACCGGTTCCTGAAATCGCTGCTTCCTCCTGACGTCTCCACCTCAATTTTACTTATGCTTGTTCTTTCCAACCACGCCCCCTTCCCGGGGGCGCAGGGTGGGGGGCGGGTCTTGTCGCAAATTAGGGGTTTTTCAAACTTAGAGCCTTCCATATAGACTCAGAGCTTTTTATTTGGGTGATATTGTGGTGAGGAAACACGCGGACAGATTTTATGATGGATGTCAAAGAGTCAACATATAAGATAGTGTGTTCCCTGCTCACAAAGGAAACCTTTAATCTCGTAGACGGATATTTATTAAGCATCCCTTATTCTGCTTTATAAGCTTGACAGGTGCATGTTCCTTTCCTTAAGAGGATACAGGTTGGAGAAAGATGCAGGTGACAGTCAATCCTTCATTGCTTTCTGATGGGTGATTCCACAAGAAAGGAAAGGAAATAGATTACAGTTAAAGAATTTTGTCTTCTGATTATTTTCTAACATGTCTCTAAATTTCAGCCTGATTTCAAATTTGATGAAGAAAAGACTGAGGCATGGAATCAGCTACACAAAATAATGAGTGTTTTACTTTTATTTAAAGTCACTTTGTACTCATTTGATGCAATCATTTGCTGTTTGTCAATAACTTTCCTATTTAGACACTGTGTATCTAAATATATTAAGATGGCAGGTATATATATTTTAAACTTGGTCGTACTCTAGCCACTGACATTGTCTGGTTCCTTCTTTTAGTGTATTTGCCATTTTATACTACTTTTTTTAGTAAGAGGATTATGTTTATGTTACTGCCCCTCTGATTGGAGGGACCATATTGTGTGGAAAAGCTGATAGGGATTTGGAAATTATAAATACCTTGTTCAGAGAAACAGATTAATGTGTATGTAAGCTACATATGTCAATCACCTTTTTATTTTCTGGCCATAGGGTGTGTGCACTCACTAGAGAGTGGGGGGGGGACAAAAAAGAGGGAAAGTGAAAAATCTCCCTCAGGATGATCCCCCCACTCCACAATCATTGTCCTCCATTCTCCTCTCAGGATTGTGGGCAGGCACGCATATGTGCCCAGTGTGTTTTTCAAGCCACCAGGTTTGGGACTTGAAACACAGAGTTGGTTATGTGGGATTCGTTGCCTTAACAACCACACCATCTGCAGACCCACTAACTACTGTTCTTAATTTTAAATTGGATGATATGCTTTGCTCTTGGTATTAAATATCATGTATTTGAGGATTACAAAAAATGCAACCTAAGAAATGTTAGTGAGGTACCTTGATTGAAAAAACATTTCTCCACAATGTGTAGTATAGTGTGAACATAGTTTGACAGTCTTCTGCAGAGTTGGACTGTGGAACAAAACAGGTGAACTCCTGAATTTTCTCCCTAAGTATTTTCAGAATTGGGAAGGAGTCTGCAGGAGTCAAGAAATGCTGTCTCATGCTTTGCCATCATGGAAATAAACTGGTTTTGAATTCTGTTTTTTCTGTGTTTGTTTATAGGAGAATAGAAAAAGTAAAATACAAGGCCAGCCGGGTGGCATGTTGGTTAAGATGGCTAGATCCTATGTGACTGACTGCTTGGTGCAAGTTCTGGACCTGGTGGCTTAGAAACATGTCAGGTGCATATGCACACATGCCCCAAATCTCTAGAGTAAAACAGGGAAGGGACTGCAGCATGGCTATACCATCTGTGTGAGGGGGTGAATTTCCCCCTCTCTCTGTCTCTTCTGTCTATGGAGAGAGAGTGTATGCACTCTATAGCAAAACCAAAATAAAATCACAGTTTGAAAAAGAGTAAAATGTTCATAGTTTTATATATGCCACATTTTAAAAAATATACTGATAAGATGTCAATTATTTGTATTTTTAAAGAATTACCTATTTAATTTTTATTTATTATTATTTTTTAATGTGCTATAGGGCACATGTGCTCACCATAGAGAGATGGGGCAGGGGGCAAGAAAGCAAGCCACCAGGTCCAGGACTGAAACTGCTGTCAGCCGTGTATGAGTCTGGCTCCTTAACCACCACACCACCTACTGTCCTGTCTATTTGATTTTAAGAAATGTCAACATTAAATGAATGATGTGTATAATGGAAAGATAAAAACAGGGTATTTCCACTTTTCTTGCTTTAAACTAGCAGGGAACAACAAAAAAAGAGAGAGCTTATTGGGATTCATTATTATTCAGATAATTGTTCTTTTCCTGTTTTTCTCAGATGACATTTGGTGAATATTTTTTTTTCTTTTTTCTTTTTTTGGAGAGGGTTTTGCTATAGGGCATGTGTGCTCGCCAGACAGACAGAGAGAGACAGAGAGACAGAAAGCGAGAAATCACCCCCCAGGGGGGATGGCCACATTGCAATCCCTTCTTCTCCATTCTCCTCTCGGGATCTTGGGCATCCATGCACACATGCCCGGCATGAGTTTAAGCCATCGGGTCCGGGACGTGAACCACGGTCGACTACATGGGAGTCCAGAGACATAGCCATTACGCTAACTGCTGGTCCCACATTTGGTGAATATTTTGATACGTGTATTTGTGTTTGTAATTATTTAAACGTTTCTAAAATCCACTATGAATAATGTCCCTGGATAAAAGTTGTCACTCACAGTTAGGTTTTTTTCTTTATTGTTGCACAGTAGTCCCCCTCATTCACCCAGGATACATTCCAAGACCCCCATGGATGCCTAAAACTGTTGATACTAGGTACTATGTTTTTTCTCATACGTACACACCTGTGATAAAATTGAACTTATAAGTTAGGCACACTAAGAGATTAACAACTACTAAAAAAAGAATAATTCCTTAGGTTACATATTACATCCTTTCCTCCAAATATTTTTCCTAAGCCTTCCAAATATCTGACCTTCCTTCTACCAATCTCCAACTCCATTTACTGGATTTCTTTTCCCCGAGATAATGGTTGGGGCAGCCATTGGCATGGTGGTTAAGGTGTTGGATCCCACATAACTGACTCTATAGCTTGAGGCCCAGATCTGGCAGCTTTAAAAAACATGCCAGGCATATGTGTGTGCAAGTCCAAGGTCCTGAGACGAGAATGGAAGAGAACGGATTGCAGATAGATGAGAAGGGATGGTGGGTGTGACCAGAACACTCTTGGGGGGGTTGATTTCTCACTTTCCCTCTTTCTCTGGTGAGCGCATGGGCACATAGCAAAAACTTTAAGGAAAAGAAATAAAAGAAGTGGATTTCAAGGGAATTTCTTGAGGCTTCTTTTTCATTCTCTAATTTTTGGCCCTTGAATATAACTGACATGATTCTGAAGATTGCACACTTTCTCCTCAAATTCCTAGTTCATTTTGCCAATGAAGTTTTTCTCCTACAATAATGTTTATTGCTTCCAAGTTGCAGTGCCCTCATTCCAGATTTTCAGTGAAGGGATTTAGTCTGCAGAGTCATAAAAATGCAGAGACCCTACATGAGAAGAGTAATCTTTAAGCTGGCTAGTCACATGCACATGGTGGGTCTAAGTGTTGGAAAGCAAGAGTGGAAGCAGGGCCTCTGCTCAGATGGCTGTGGGGCCTATGACAAAGTTAGAAAATGAAGAGGTTTGGTGACTCCTCCCTCAAGAACAAAAGTAAACAGAAACCCAAGGATTTCAAGGACAAGTTCAGAAAGAAGTCAACCAGAATCTTTCAAGATTATGAAAACTTTTTTTACGACCAGCTGATAGTATAATGGTTACATCGCTGGATTCTCACATGGTCGACTACAGTTTAAGTCCTGGACTCCGTGGCTTAAAACTCACATCGAGGGACCAGCAGTTAGCGTAATGGCTATGTCGCTGGACTCCCACATAGTTGACCACAGTTCGCGTCCCGGACCCGGTGGCTTAAACTCACACCGGGTGCTTGTGTGTGCATGCCCAAGATCCCGAGAGGAGAAGGGATTGTGGCGTGGCCTCCCTCCTGGGGGGTGATTTCTCACTTTCTGTCTCTCTGTCTCTCTCTGTCTGGCGAGCACACATGCCCTATGGCAAA